CATAAAATGGAGTCCTATTGAGCAAAACTTCCACATCACTCCCTTCACTAGCCATTTCTGCTGGATCACCATTCACCACAAGACTTTCTACTATAGCCTTAGCATAAAGGCTGTCATGTCCAATAAATTCAGTGTCAGTTACATTTTTTGCAATATCTGCCCCATTTCCCATAGCAAGTTTGACAGTATTATGCGCAGCCTGAGATTGATGCCTTTGCTTCTCCATTTCGATATCAAAACCATTCAAATCAATAATCACGCCACGTTCTTCAGCCACTTCCTTTGTTATTTCAACTGGGTATCCATAAGTATCATATAAAATAAACACATCTTCACCAGACAAGCAAGGTACAGTTCCAGTTTTTTCTGCGGTTGATAAAGAGTCTGCAAGTTTCTCCTCAAGCAACTTTTCTCCTCTCTCCAGAGTCTGCACAAACCGAAGCTCTTCTCTCTTCAACTCCTCAAAGATATGGGGTGCTCTGTTTTTCACATCAGAATCAATATGGGTACTTAACTCCACTACTTTCACAGCAATGGCAGGTAAAAATGCTCCTTCAAGGTTTCCCAAACTATCACCCTTTATACCAAGCAACCTGCCTGTACGGACAACCCTTCTGATAAGACGCCGAACTACATAACCTCTCCCAATATTTGATGGGACAACCCCATCAGATATGAGATATACTATTGCACGCATGTGATCCCCTATAATCTAAGATATAAAAAGAAAAACGATGCACAGTGAGAGAAGGAAAGCAACTAGTGGTTAAAGCCTGCTAGCATAAATCATAGCGTGTGTCATTGAAAGATAGTCATACTTTCAGATTCATCTTTGTCTGATCATCAGCAGCAGCATATGAAACATTCGCTAACTCAGAGGCTTTCTCTATTATGGGATAGATCAAGTCAGTTTCATAGTTGTTTGGAACCTGCCAAAAATATAAATAAAATACAAAGATAACTTTATAGATATATCTCTCTTTATCGAGATATACTTTTGAGAAAAGAATTGGCTAATGATATGTTACTTTCACATAAGCACAAATCTATGGATACCTTTTGGAGGATGCAGGCCAAACGCTCCAGGCCAAGCCCAGTATCTATATTTTTCTGCTTTAGAGGTTCAAGAGAACCATCATCCTTTTTATTGTATTGCATGAAAACTAGATTGTAGAACTCTATGAACCTTGTATCATCACCAAGATCCTGTTTTCATCCCCCAATCCACCCCACCCAAAAAATGCAAAATATAGTGAGACATAACTTTGGTGTGGCTTTGAGTCACTCAAAACAATTTTATGCTTACAGTGTCTTCATATCCTCTCTCAGGATGAAAATCATAGTATATTTCTGAGCAAGGGCCGCAAGGACCAGTTACTCCACTGGTCCAGAAGTTATCTTCTTCACCCAACTTCTTTATACGATTAACCGGAACACCCACCTGCAGAAACAAAGACCGTGTAGTTAACATATCATGCTAAGCCTAGCCCATTATGATATGCCAATTAAAAATTTGTGCCCAACTGGAAACTCAAAAAATTAAATGGATTGTAAGAAATTAGCAAATAATGCTCAGAGAAATGCATTTTTAAGCTAACCTCATCAGACCATATTGCAAAGGCCTCATCATCATCTTTATAAACACTAATCCACAATTTGTCAGCTGGCAAACCAAACCTGTAAGTAAATGAAGGAAATGCTCTCTCTTTTAACATTCTGAAATGATACTATTAAAAAAGGTAACATCTTGTTCCCTTTTACAAAAGGAATGACAGATATATTACAGTTAGTTCAGAATGTTAAGTGCATAACCAAGAACCATTAGCTTCCAAGAATTACACTATTAAAAAATGAAACGATTGATGTTATTCAGATGTTCTAGACTTCTAGTAATCTTTGGAAACCCAATCCTTGCTTCTAGTCAAAACTTTCACAAAAAGAACACCGTAAAAATGTTACATGTCAACAGGCAAGGTAATACAACTATTTGAAGACCAAAATGGCCCCAGGCATCAAATGAAAACAACACAAATTGCATATTAATCTACTTTACAGTTATGTCGTTTTTTTTTTTTCAAAATTTAAGAGGGGAGTAATGCAGTTCAATTGAAAAAAGTATATTCAGTAGTGACTTTTCTTTCTTTCTTTCTTTTTTTGACAGCATGCTGAGAAGAGAGGATGAATCCATGCACTATTATCGTAAAGTGGAAATTATCTCTAAAACATGTATTTCAAGAAGAGCAATATAATTTCAATCCTCTCAACCATCTACTGCCCGAAGAAAACAGAGTATAGTTCACCAAATTAGATTACACTTTAAAGCTTACTCTATGGTTGAAAGTTCCCATGCCCATTTGATTGCCTCTTTTTTGAAGTAATCACCAAAGCTGAAGTTTCCAAGCATCTCAAAAAATGTCTGATGTCGAGTTGTTCGGCCTACATTCTCCACGTCATTTGTTCGTATGCACCTTTGTGCAGTTGTCGCACAAGGGACTCCTCTTGGAACCTAAGCACAATATACTTATACAGTTGAAACTTGGTCCTACCTCTGGTCCTTGTAAATTTTTCGATTGTAATAATAGAATAGAAGTTTATATTAATAGTGGACAATATCCAAACCTTCCCCAGGAATATAGGCTTGAATTGAAGCATTCCTGCTATAGTTAACAGAACTGTCGGATCATCAGGGACAAGAGAAGCGCTAGGAAGGACCTTATGACCGCGGGAAGCATAAAAAGTAAGAAATTTATGGCGAATGGAATCTCCACTCACAGGGTTGTCCTTCACTTTTTCCACTACGAGTTCTACATTAAACGGTCGTGACGACGCTGAAAAGCCACGCCGTAACTATCATATCCCTTGGACATGGAAGGTAAGGAACATTAAGAAAGATTAAGACTATTTACAAGACTAACTATAGCAACCTGATGTGCTCCTCGCACGAAACAGCAAGCCACGTCGTTCTCTAACAGTTCGAGCACCGTGCGACAATTTGCTAGAACCTGAAAATGATGAAGTTTTTGGTACGAAGCCTGCAGTAGCACCAAAGAGGCAAAGACTGAGATCAAATCGCAGCATCATCCGAAGAAGCACATAGTGAACGACACAAGTAAAGAAAGGAAAGAAGCCTAACGACATATCAGAAAGTTGCTTTTCACTGGAGCCAGTTTTGTTATTTCATACTATCCTCTGTCGAGTTAATCCAGAACATCTGCTTGCATGAAATAAGAAATTAACAAAAAAAAAAAAGTGTCCCACTAATACAAGTTCTTGAAGTATCAGTAAAACGGCTAGCAATTTTACGATTCATGGAAATAGTTTAGTCGCAATTTTGAGAGCAGACATCCAATAGTCGAAAGAGAAGCACCAAGTAAAAATGGGGGAAAATCCATTTGAGAGAAGTAAGCGTTCAACAGTCAACAAGCAAATAGCTCCGCTGCTTATGAAAAGAATATAACTCAATCAATGAGCACAGGTCCTCAGATGCCAGACCGACAGGTTACAGAATCATTCGCAGAGGAGAACTAAAAGGAAAACTGAATAATTTAGCATAGAAATTACCAGTGGAGACCGGAAATTTGCGATTTTGTGGGGTAAAAAATGTAGATAATGGGAAAGAAGTGGAAATAGGAAGTGGGAAGAGATCATTTGGGGGAGAGTGTAGAATTGTTAAGCTTTCCATGGCCGCGAACTGGATTATGGGTTGAAATTGGCCGTTAAATCCGTTGGTATGGTGGGAGAGGATAAGCCTTATTTGAGAGGCAATCCTCCCGTTTCCAGTTTGGAGGAGGCGCAGGCGGATGGAAGCCCCCCCTCTAACGTGGCCTCCACCTCACCACACAGGCGACAGGCCTACTGCCACACTTTGGCAAACATCACAACGTTGGAGCCAAGTAAAGGTAAATTAATCATGGTAGGATGACGTTTAACGCCTCTCTTCGAGAATTTATTGGAACAATGGTCCATAAATTTTACATTGAATGCTGTCTTATAAAAACATATACATAGTCTATGTTATTGTTAAAAATTAGACTTTTACTTTCAATTTTTTTGTTATGCTTTTCTTAAAATTTGATGAAATAATATTCAGCTTTAAACAATATTTTCAGAAAACAATATTTGACATCAAATTTATGCGTCCTCGATAAGATAAATTTCTTTAAAAGTCATTCTCCCATTAATTATCTTTAAATTCCTTCTTCCACCTGATTAAATTTACTTCAACTAGCCACAAGAATGCATACATTTTCCTTACCCATAGCAAATGGAAAAACCATCTAATACTGGTGGTGCAAGTGATAAAATGTCCTATTTATCTACCCTTGCACACAAAACTAATGCGTTATTAGCAGCTCCTTGGCTTTATAAGTAGCTTCCCATTTATTCCAGTGACAACTGACTTGTCAAAGTACAAGTATTTGACAGATCAATGACATAACATTTAGGAACAGACCATTAAGAATTTCACGCCCGCTTGTGAGTGTTTTATTGGATTGTACAATTGGTTTTTAAAAAGGATGAGGCGTGTATTCAATACGAAGTTGCAGTGACCTGACCCATCTGGGCCCAAAATGTGAATGAATAATGGCCTGGTAAGCAGACAAGGAAGCTTCGTGGCATCAAGTCCTGAAGAAGGAATTGCACGCCCTGAAACTTGTGGTAGTTAGTTGGCATACAAGTCCTGGAGAAGGAGATGCTTACACTAAAACTTGTGTTAGCCTGACAGGAAACATGTAATTGCGGCCACAAGCCCAGCTCCGAATTTGGGAAAGACTGCACATGGCCATGCGCCATATCGGCACAACAGTGTGAACAACACATACGTACAGTACATGGAGCTTGTGTGCATTGTGTGCCTATATATATCTGAAACAAGAGCAACCCTTGAATGCACAGCTAGCCTCAATCAGTGAGTTGTGTACGTTGCCAATTTCCTCCCCCCGCTCTAGGGCCCCTGATCATTAGCAATAACCATGATCAGCGCCAAAAGACTTGTCAATATGGCAAGAAACTGGCAGAAACTGGTAGCTGGTAAGCGCAAGAGGATATCGTGCAAAAGAGAGGACGTGGACATGTATTCTTCGGCGGCGAACAAGGGCCATTTCGTAGTTTACAGTACAGATCATAAGCGATTCGTGGTTCCCCTCAAGTATCTCAAAAGCAACGTCTTCAAGGAGCTGCTCGAATGGTCCGAGGAAGAGTTTGGACTGGCTTCCAGCGGACCTCTTTTGTTACCTTGTGAAAGCGTCGTCTTGGAGTATGTAATCTCGTTGGTAAAGGAAAGAGTCCCAGAAGATGTACAGAAGGTTTTAATCGCTTCTAGGGCTACATGTCATAGCCATGCATCATCTCTTGCTCCAACACCCCCACAAGCCATAATCCACGGCTATTAGAGAGATTTGTATGGGTTTCCATGCATGGAATGTCTAGATTGTAGATTAGAGGCTGGCGTTACTTGATCTGGGCCTTCAAACCAGTGCTGTAATAATTAAAATCCCAGAATCATCACTTTTTTGTTGTGATGTTGCTAGCTAGCATGCATGGTTTATTATCCCTTGGGCTTGCGCGTACTTGGTTATCGGCGGCTCTCGAAACAATTCAACTCAAGAAATTTAAACTGCTAAATAAAACCCAACGAGTTTCTCCACAAATCCCACTTCCGTGTGTCAAAAAACGAATTATTCACATCTTTTAAGCTATAAATTGAATAGGCGAGGGAGAAGAATAAGAAATCACACAGAATAGACACTTAAAATTTGGGGGGAAATTCATGTTCACTTTCATTCATTCTGTTCCTCATTCTGTTCTTTCAGAACTTTATAATGAAAAGAAATGGTGATCAGACATGATCAGCTTCTATGTTTTCATAGCTATCATATTGTGAGGCGATCAGCAGATCACTCAATTTCATTCAATAATGAGTTAACATTAAATGCAAGAACTGCAAGTTTTATCTGCTTATTAAAAAACAAATAGAAATTATAATTAAGAAGCAATGTGTGAGAGAGAAACTATGTATGCAGCAAAATCCTCGGAGACTGTTTATCAAAATTTAAGTAGTAGATTGCATGCGTATGGTTTCATAAGGAAAGTGATTTTTCAATATTAAATCACTTAAAAAGCCATCAAGAATGTATGTAAAAAATATGAGAGGTAACTATTATAACAAGATTTTTATAGGCATGCAATGCGAAGTCAATAAATGTATTTAATATAAATATTAAGTATCTATATCATCTGAATTTATATTTCATTTGAGATTAATAAATGAATGAGTTTATCTTCACTTAATGCCTATGCAATATACAGAATATTAACCCGTCAATTTGAATAGAAGAAAATTATAAAAAAGAAAATCTTTTAATGAATTTGATTTAAAAAAACAGAATGAGTGGGTTGATTTTTTTTTTTTTTATATGCGGGGTTGAAAATTTTTAATACAATATTTCGCACCCCTATAACAATATGATTCTTATAGTGGGAACAATATGATTCTAATCTTTTCAACGGAAATCCTTTATTTTTAACTTTAAAAAACCTAAATAATAAAATTGTTAGACCATGAATATTAAACAGGGTAGTTTATAAGTTGTTGCATTATTCTTCTTTTACTTCAAAATGTATTACTTTGTGCATATTTAAATAAAAACATGAGTTTAAAGATTACCTTTTTATATTATATCAGCAAGTGATCTTCATTCATATTATAAAATCTAAATAGCAATTCATTATATTTTATGATTTGTTATATCAGTCCATTTTGAAAATTTAAATAAAATATCTTATTTTAAGATTTTTTTCCTATGTTCTCTCTAAATTACAACATAGGACTTTTTCAGAAACCCCACTTAGTCCAAAATATATAATATTGAGTAGGTTATATGTATACATAAATATATATATTTTAATTACTTCATCCATTAAAAAATACAAAGTATTTTTAACTAAATTTTATCTTTCAATAAACTAGTTATTTATTTTTAAATTAATATAATTTTTTTATATTTATTCTTATTTAATAGATTATTTTACTTTAAAATAAATATAAAGTGATTTATTTATTATGGGTACCCTTAAAAAAATACATTAATTACATTTTAAAACACCTAAAATACCTTATATTTTTTAATAGAAAAAGTATGCATTTTTTTATTATATTCCACTCAAGTAGTTAAGTAGAATATTTTAAAAAAATTATATATTATATTTATTTCACTAAATGATATGATTGAAAAGATGTAAAAAAATTTTAAAAATTAAGATTTTAAACAAATTTTTTGAAAAATATAAATTAATTAACAATAACTTACTATATTGTTATTTGGAAGGAGTACATATTAAAACTAAAAATTATTTTAACTTCAAAATTTATTATCTTAACACTTAATTTATTTTAAAAAAACAATCCCTGTTAGACATTTTAATAAAAATATGATTCAATTAATATTGTGCCGAATTGCCTGCAGCTTTTGCTGGACGCAACATAATTTATGTAGCTTTTTTTTTTTAATATTGATTACAAAAAGAAAAGTTTTTGTTGATCTACAAGAAATTTCGGATGCTGATTACAAACGATTACAATAAGATTAATGATTTCAAGTAAAAGGGATTTTGTCTTCAAAAAATAATTATATGCTCGTTTCTTGAAAATAGTTTTTTTAAAAAAAGAAAATAACTTAACACTACAAAGTACCAAACAAGTGCTTTTTTAGAAATATCTTGTAAAATTTTTCGAGTATAGAATTAGGAAGTACACAATATGGATGAGAAAGTGTCAAAATGCTAGTACATTATCTTTTTTTTTTTAATCAATCAAAAAGGTTTTAAAATAAAATAACTTCCTAAATGATTTGAAATTCAAATTCAAATTGTAGATAAATAATTAACTCATTTAAACTTGTAGATACAATTAATATTTAATGAGTTGGACCCCATTTAATATATGGTGAATCCAGTATTCCAAAATTGTAGATAAATATTCCTCAAGTTTAGGGTAACAAAATACCTAAAGAGCCCCTTTTTTTGGGAATGGGGAAGGTCATAGCAAGAACCATGCAAGGACAAAAATCAAGTCATGTCAATACTTAAAATGATATCATATCCTACGGTAGCTCATCTAAAACCTTAACAATAAGATTATCGCTTAGTGCTTGATGTGCAATTCAACCCACATAATTGTTGGTTTCTCTACGAACATGATCAAAAATGATCATTCAATCTCACATAATAAGTTTTCTAATCTTTTTAATAACTTCAAAAAATGATGATTGTAATTGAAATTACAATGGATAAATGAAAAGGCTTCAACTGAATTGAAATAAATATTAACTTTTGAAAATTTACTATTTCAACATAGGTTGAGCCTTTTTCGAATACCCAAAAGTTTAGCAGCAGTGCTGAAATAATATCTAATGTGTTTAGAAAAGTCTGATCCAATTCTCCTCTACAAGCAGCAGCCTTATGGTAACATGACTTTGATTTCACGAATCTTAAAAGAGTAGCGAAGAAGGTAGGGCATTAAAATTTGAAATCAATGGTATCTTTCTCGGGGGAATAGAAAATTTATGACGTATTGGAATAAAGACCGCACCACATAACAGATATTGGCATGATAAGAACTGAAGCATATTTAAGGATAAATGTCTGCCGTCGGTGTGTGGTCCAGCTTCGCCCCTTTACAAGTGAATATAATTTGAGCAAGGTAATGGCTTTGAGAAGCAGTCCAGAAACGGTGGGGTTTCTATTAATGAAGGAAGGACACGTACGTTCGTTCAACATTTTGGCTCCACCTTGCTTCCATTTCGTTGACTTTGCTTCTGCTAAGCGGCTTACCAGATTCACCATTAGCAGCATGCCGACACGCTTCTCCTCCATCTCCATCTGCGTGAACTCAAGTAATCATCTGCATCTACGTGCAACTATTTCGTCAACATCCTGTTTCGTTCTGCCTGCAAATATATCACTTCCTAAGCAGCTTGATTTTCTTCCTCCTGCCGTTAAATACATTATCTTCATCTACTGGTTTACGTCTTTTATAGCTGTATTTTTCCTTCCAAACCTTGAAAACAGGTCCATAACCATTAGTACTTCATCAGTCTCCATTTGGCACACCTGACACGGATGATGGCCCTTTGACGACAATACCCGTTCTGGTCCTGAGAACTTATTCGTAGGGCTAGATATTTTTAATCCCTATCGATGGTATTACATCAATTTGCTCCTATTGTTCCCGTAGCTTTAATCTCTTGGTTTGCCTTCTCCTCTATTTGACGCCTACACTCTTCCTGTACCCACCCTACACAATTTCTCTCCATTAAAACATTTTTCACTCGACCATTGGATGGCGCTCATTAATTCTCCCGACGAACTTTCATCTCACCGAATTCACAATCCATACAATCATGGAAACGATTAAACTGACGACCGACGCAATCAACTCAATGATCTGCACGCTAAAATCGATGGTTTGCAAACACCCTATAAGTTATAACCTTTAGACAACTTTCCATGCTCCCTCAAAAAAATTTAGGTGTTGACGAAACATATTCAAGAGGAAATCCCGAAATGTATGCTCTTCACGGATGATATAGTTCTTATAGCAGAGACAAGAGAAGAGATTAATTACAAACTTGAGTTATGGAGGAGGACATTGGAGTCGAAAGGTTTTCGTCTGAGTAGAAGTAAGACGGAATATTTATATTGTAAATTTGGTAAAGGACTATTTGAAAATAATTTGGAAGTGAAATTGGGAGATCAAATTATACCTCAAGTGGAAAAGTTTAGATATTTGGGAGCCATTATTCAAAATGATGGCAAAATTAGTGGAGATATTTCACATAGAATTCAAGCTGGGTGGTTTAATTGGAGAAAAGCTAAAGGAGTTATTTGTGACCGTAAGATGCCTAATAAACTTAAAGGAAAGTTTTATCGTACTGCTATCAGACCGGCAATGTTATATATTAGTGAATGCTGGGCTCTAACAGGACAGCAAGAGCATAAAGTTGGAGTAGCAGAGATGAGAATGTTACGATGGATGTGCGGACATACACGTAAAGATAAAATTCGAAATGAGCACATACGTGAAAAAGTGAGGGTGGCACCTATTGAGGAAAAAATGGTAGAAAATCGGTTGAGATAGTTTGGACATGTACAAAGAAGACCAAGGGAGGCACCAGTGAAAAGAGTGAAACATATAACTTTGAGTCCGACTAAGAGAGGTAGAGGAAGGCCTAAGAGAACACTCTTGGAAGTTGTTAAACGTGATCTCTTAATTAATAATATTTCTAAAAGCTTAATAAATGATAAAGCACAATGGCGTCTTGCAATCTATGTAGCCGACCCCACCTAGTGGGATAAACGCTTGTTGTTGTTGTTGTTGTGATCTTTGATAGAA